GAGAGAGAGAGCTGTATTGGAGTTCGTTTAAAACAAAAATATAAATTTCATCATCTGATTTATTGTTGTGTGTATATATATGGCAAAATGTATATCATTAACTTGATAATTCTATGCTTTAGATAGTCAATCTATTTGGTATGCAATAACAATATTCACAGTTTTTGYATTAAAATGTACTTTCGTTAAATTAATATGTAAAATGTGTTAAGACAACTTTAATTTAATTTTCCATTTATAAAATGCTTTTGGCCATTTCGTGATCATCAGATTTCTATGACCACATTTTCAGCAATTGTGTTTGTCATTCCCGTAGAATTTRATTACAGATCGGCTCAATTTACTTGGGCCTTGGGGGTAATAGTGATATCGGAGCACCTATGTAATAATATCACTCACCCGAAACCAGAGCCAATAACACCGATATCAGACAAATTAAGGCGACAGCCCGTGGTCTCCTGGCCGTCGGCGTCGTCCGAGGCGGCTCCATCCGAGGCGGCCGATTTCCGCGTGGCAGACACCGCTCTAGTGTTCGGTCACCACGACAGACACAAACGGATGCGTCAACACAGTTGAGGATAACGGACAAGACCACCAGAAACCGGATATTTGGTCGATTGTGTCTACTCCCGGTTGTGCGAAATATTAAACATCATAAACTAAAAAATTGCTACGACCGTGGCCACGTTATCGAGTGGTGCGTGAATGTGATCGTGTTCGGTTACGTACGGTATAGTCGGTGTTCACGTTTGCGCTTTCAGTACGGTCGCCGACGTGGTACTGACTGAGGCAGCAGCGGCGACGGTGGCGGCAATTCGAGAGCGCCGCGTCTGTGTGCTCCGCCCCGGCCAAACGGACGGAGAGCGGCAAGTATCGGAGGGAAAACGTCGACGCCGCCGCCGCCACCGACAGGAGGAGACGAGAAAAAACGAGATCGACGGACCGAGCACACGCGTAGTCACGTCATTATACGTATCATCGTCTATACACYAGTAATATATTAAATAGTCGTACGTAGATCGGGGCGATGTCAGAAAAACTGCCAGTCGCTCTTATTTTTCCTATTTCGCCTTGGTTAACTTTTATTTATTTGCACGTACGATCTTCTCAAATGTTCCACCGACCTAACCTTCGAATATTTTCCCGTTATCCTAATACAACAATACAAAATATGTAATGATTTAAATAATGATTGGGATTTGGCCGCGTTGAAACCTATAGTGTATTCGTTTACTCATCACTTTATTTTATGCGTGCTGCAGTTCTTAGTGCAGTTACACGTCTCGTCATGTTATTCGCTCAATGAATCGACGCTTAATCGCGAAAATACCTTATACTAGAAAAAATATAACCTATCATGACGTATGTCACTACATGATAATTTATATGTACGCACTGTCATCATAAGCGTGCGCACGGGGGAGGCAGGGGAGGCGGCTGCCTCCCCTGCGAGATTTTCCTCTACACCAAAATATAATATTATACCTACCAATTGGGGAAAATCGGGTGGGGGGATTGGAGTCTGGACCTCCTTAGCTAAGGTATTGCCTCCCCTGCMAAGAATACCTGCGCACGCTTATGACTGTCATACTAGACACTCTTTTAACAATTATATATATACATATATGATTGATTAAGTAAATTTATAAAAGAACAATGCAGATAGAATTCATTTAAATGAGTTGTTAGTTGTTACTTAAACTGCAATTTTTGAATGTTCAAATGTATTTTGCAGTGTTTTTAGTGGTATCTTGTCTCTTTTATACGTAAGTACTTAATGAACATTATTAAAAAAACAGATTCCTCTAAAAACGAAATATTTTCAAAACTATTTTTTTTTTTTTTTTGATACAACAGAAGAAAACATAATGTATATTTTTTATCAAGTTCCAGTAAATAAATTGGAAATAGTCGAGTAGTTTTATCACTTATTTCTTTCTTTATCATATAGTCCATAGATATAAAAGCATAATAATTAAAAAGCAGAACCATACTATTTATCCTGGACGTAAAACTTGCCGACACAGCACTGCTTCGCTCATTATTTTTTATTCTATCTCAGTGCGTTTATACAACCATAACAATTATAACCTATCACGCAGGACCATAGTTATGTTGTTATAGTGTATAATATATTTATATTGTATTGTTGCACCTCTGCTGTTTAAAATGGATAGGGTTATATTCATAGAACGAAAACGAAGTTTTTGGATGGTTATTACGACCACAATAATTTGTTAAAGAATTATAGCAATCATTGCATAAAACTTTAATCAAAATTATTACGTGGCTGCTGTGACATCTTATGTTCGTGTTCTTTACAAGAGCGAAGTCATAAATGTCATTGTGTGGTTGGAGAACTATAACTACATTTTAATTACWATCATTGTTATTAAATTTAATCTGGCGTGTAACGTACGCGTACTCGGCAACACTTTTAAACTGACAAAAAAAAAAAATTAAAACTTACTTTTGATTTATTATTAAAATACTAATGAATAAAAAAAAAATATTGAAATCTTTTCATAAAATCAATATCTGCGATGATAAAAGTGGTGAATCTAGAAATATTTTTTCTTGATTAACGTGGTATTATTTCGTGAATGCATAACATTTAAACTCGTGTATTACCTCCAGTCTTATAATATTGCCAAGGGCCAAAACAAGAATAATGATTACAATTTTAGTACTTCGTGAACATGATACACATGTAACATAATTAAATTAAATCTATTCAAAAATGTTGTTAGATATCGTTAGAATAATTGTGTTAGACGACCATTTAAAATTATTTATAATTTTTGAAAACCACAGCCATAATATTGTTCATTACAATTTATTGGCGCTTAAAAAATGTAGACCTACTTAGAATAAGCAGCAGCTGAAAGAAAATAAAGGAAATATAATTGAGTAAAAACAATTGTGTAGGTTATCGTTCAAGATTATAAAAATTGAATTTGATGTATTTAATATTTTTTTTCGATTGGTGTCGTTAAAACAGAAATTCAGGAAATTTAATGAATACATATAAAATACTACATAAGGTGAATATGTATTATAATTGATGGGTACATATATATATGAATATAAAATATTACATAAGGTGAAACTGTATTATAATTTATAGGTACCTGCATCATTATAGAATACTATAATTATTTWTCACTTAATCAGTTAAGTTATCGTATTGAGAACTATTCTTCAATATGTCTGACTTCTGATGACAAATAATTTTATTTAATATACATTACTTAAATTAAATATAATGTACAGTATGTTAAATTATTTACGTTCCAGATCAGGAGTTTAAAATATCGAGCACTAAAAATAATTATATAACTGTAAAATGTATTAAATCTCTAGTCGTATAGATATATAATGGTACACTATAATTTAATGATTTAAAACCACTTCATCCTTTAAATGTAAATTTGTTCTGTTCATAAACCCTAGTTAACAATCACTTTTTATATTCATTRCCTACAATATAATGTTGAATAAAACTAAAAGGGCGTTTTTGGTTTTTCATACTGTTAAGTTGATTATAATTGAATTCTACAATTTAGAGTAATATTGTACAATAAGACGTACAGATGTACAGTTCATTTTTGCATATAAACATGCAATCATTACTCTCTAATTACTAAGAATAATTCAATAATTATCAGTAATATTT